CTACTCGAGATCATAGCCCACTGCTGCGCGGTTTTGAAAGCCTATTTTCAGCCATGTCAGCTACAAAGACAAAACAGCAAGCTGCAATGACCCTCACAAATCTCAAGATGATATCACAAGTTCAGCTTTCCAAAACAAACAAGAACCCAACAAAGAAATCCAAATCGGTCAACAATCATACCGACAAAGAAATTGAAGTTATTGAAGACCCACGAGTAGAACCATCAGAGCTCTTTTCTGGCCCAGATGATCTTGAAGAGTTTGAACAAGGAGTGGCCCGATTGCAAGAGGAACCGATGCTTGTTGACCCCGCTTTAGAGGCTGATTCTTATGATGGTTTTATTAGATCTCTCTTTGATCTGACTTTATTTGAGGTTCAATCTTTTCATCATGTTGAGTCTGCAGGTGAAAGTACACCTGCTGTTGGCGCTCCTGGAGCCTGGAACCCCGATGAAGTCATATTTGACTGATCTTATTGTTTTTATTACGTGTGCTATGCTGAAATACAATTTTTTGACTGGTTTCTTTTCGTTTTTTGACTGTTTTTTAACTTTTCACACTGTCAGAGGATGCGCCTAACGCGCCAGTGGCGCCCAGACGCGCCTATTTTTCCGACAACCGCGCCAGGGCGCGCCTTTTTTTTTAGAGCCGCGCCCCCATCCTGATGCTAGACTCGAGGTTCCAAAATCAATCGGATATCAGCATTGTACTGGCACTGTATTCTGCCTGTAATCAAACTTATCATCGGCGATGTGATATTACTTTTGCTAAAAAGCTTGGCCGGATCAAGAAAAAATAAAACAGAATTAGACCCAGATTTCACCGCAGCAATCACAACGCAGCAGAGAGAAAAAAGTTTGAGGGTGCTGTCAGGGGTGGCGCAATCTCCCTTCCATTCCCTCCTTTTGATTCCCCCGCTGCCGCCAAAAAACAATTCATATTCTCAAAATCCCTGCCAATCACTTTGTTTTCCTCACTAAACTCAATCCCTCGCTGGTTCTCGCATCCTGGAAACGTGTCCTATCCATGGACAATTGATTGCTGATCTCTGTAAGTGAGAAGGTTCACTTTTTTGCTTCAATTCCTCCATTTGTCTCTTCAGTGCATTCTATTCAACTTACTGATAAACCACAACATCATTTCTAGGTATCCTTTGAAATTAACACACAAATCTACCATCATTGTGGTTATCAGACATTTGAAGATAAGCTTTATTGGTTAGAATATATGAATTGTAGTTAGCAAAGATTTTCATTGTATAGGAATCAGAATCGAGGAATTATCGATAAGAGTGATGTGAAAATTGAAATCGTTTCAATCTTCATACAAGAAAATCGATTGATTTTGATCTTGTTCCAAAGCATCAGCCTCTAGATTATGTACACAAGAGAGCTGAGATTGTTCACACTCTTTTCCGTAGGAAGATAGGAAGGTCAATTGGTTTTGAGCAAGCAAAATCAATCGATTTTTGGATTTTGAGTGTCTTTAAGAAAATTGAGATGGTTTTTGATAGACGAATTGAATGGGTTTGGATGACAAGGCCAATGCTCTCTTGGTTTTTAATACCCTCAAAGAGATCTGAGATGGTTCTCAGCTCGCGATCATAGGCTTGCCTCATAGGAGAATCGATCGGCATTGATCGGTTGTGATATTTTTCATAACCAATCGATGATTATGACAATCTTGACAACCTTAAAAATCACTCATGTTTTGAATATCTTTCATAAGATATTCAATCTCAGACTTTAGTTATTCAGCAGAGCTCGCACTCGACAGGTTGAAGATATGTAAGATACATCTCAATTCACTTGCCTTTTTTTTCACGTTAGCACAGTAGTTGTGAGCTCCAAAGCTTCAACAACATCTCTAATTTTCATCTGTTAACAAACGCTCGTTATTGACATATGAGGAATACTACAGAGAGAGAGGTTTCACACATCATTCCAACACCTCAAACCCATCGTAAAAGTGTGTGGGAAGGAAGAGCTGGTGAGGTGATGGTGAGACAAAGCTAGGTGGACCGATCACTGATATCAGACTGTGTTGCGAGGATGGTCATCTGAATCAAAGGATATGAAAAGGTTGTTAGAAAGTGCATCAATAGATAATGAATCAGTAGTTATTTATAATGTAGCACATAGAGTGACTTACCAAGAGCTTGACAAGCTCATCTTGCCAGAGTGTGTAACAAAAGAGGTGGCCAGGTGGTGGTGAACTAGAACCGAGAGGTGGGTGATGGGCCAGTGGAGTGGAAGGGAGATCACACCACCCCTGACAGCACCCTCAAACTTTTTTCTCTCTGCTGCGCTGTGACTGCTGCGGTGAAATCTGGGTCTAATTCTGTTTTATTTTTTCTTGATCCGGCCAAGCTTTTTAGCAAAAGTAATACATAATTATCAGCGGAAATACGAAAGTCCGATCTATGTACCCAACGTCTGCCAGTCTGCTGAAGTCTGACAGATCACAGGTTATAAACGTCCTCCCTCGACCACGTACCTCCATGCATGCTTTGAGAATTGAACAAATTTGAATATGCATCCAGTACATGATATGTTTCGAATCTCACGGTCAGCGGAAGCAGCGAAACGATGCTCGAATCAAGTGGGACCTTGGCCATAAAACTGACCCCAGCATCCCTATCCTTCTCGCTATGCTCACAAGTACCATCAATCTTTAATCACTCGTTTTTTAATACCCTCCTTGGAATCTGCTTAAATGAGGCTTGGTCTCACAATCTCCCGTTTAGCGGCGGCCGTCGTGTGCAACTTCGCCATACGCAGCAGCGCAGAGCCCTCTTTTGATTCAAGTGAGTCGCCGAATTTGCTGGATGCTTCGGCTGGACTCGTTTCGTGAGATTGAAGATACGGTCATTCCTGTCTACCAGAATTTTCTGCGAGCGACTTGAGCGCGCTTCAACAACTTTTGCAACAATATGCTGACAAGTTAGCTGCCGCCGATTTCCAAGGGGCATGGTCACTATTGGCCCCAAATGCCAAGGTCACCTTCACCAACAAACTCTTGGGAGGAACTCCTGAGACGGCAAGCACTCAAGCGGGTATGTTAGCATTCTCTGAACGGCGCTGATGATATGAACAAGCGCTGATTCTTAAACCTCGAACGTATCACATGGTCAGAATTTGTTGCAATCTATAAAAAAGCTAGCTTTGAGGGAAAACTCACCCAGAGCTTGTCAAAGGGTGCGTGTCCTAGTATCCTCATATGCAACAAAGTTACTACCTGCTTATGACTGTCTGCACTTCAGCCACCCTCCTCTCCACATCCCCATTCTCGGTTCAGTTGGATGGAACCGTCAGCACTGATAAGGGGCCTCTTCCCAATACGCCTGCCACTTTTCTAACCAAATGGGTTTTTAACGGTGATCATCCTGGCCCTGGAAAGATTGTTTCTGTGGATGATCAGATTGTGAGCCTTGCGAGCAGCACTCCCAGTTCGAATGCGCAAACTTCGTCTCCTTCCAGCTCGCCCAGTACTTCGCAAGTTCCAAATCAATCGCCCGTCAAGGCCGCCCCAGCTCCAAGTGCCGCGACCTCAGCACAGAGTGGAGGTAAGATTGCACCTGTGCAAAATCCATCACCTGTCAAGGCTGCTCCGGTTCCGAGTGCTGCAACCTCAGCACCGAGTGGAGGTAGTGGTGAGTTGGCTGCGAGCTCTCTGCTTTCTTTTCTTTGGCATGATATCCTTCTACAAATGCTATAACGAAACTGATGACGCCATCGCTCTCAAATCCATAACTGACGTGGCTCAAGCTCAAACCTCTGCTTCCACGCAAGCATCAGCGCCCAGTGTAGATAGCAGTATGTCCATTTAGTTGATATATCCTAGTCTCTCTCTCCAATCACACGTCCTGAAGATATTGTGCATGATCACAGAAATCTCGGCCGCCGATCAAGCAACCCTCTTGAAAATTTTCGCCGATTTTTCTTCAAATATTGCGTCGGGCAAGTTTGCCGATGCCTGGTCAATGTTCGCTCCCAATGCTAAGATCACTGCAAAAAATCAACTCCTTGGTGATTCAGACACGATCACTAGTAAAGATGGTAATTAAGCTTTTCAATGTTGCTTCGAATACTTAGCAGTAGTTGATCAACCTTTTGTCTTGATCAGCGTTTGTCAAGTACTACACCAAAAACTCGTTTGGAGGCCAGCTAAAATTGACATTATCCAGCGGTATGCGTCACCTCTCACAAAAGCCATCTAGCCACATCTTGGGACTGATATGTCCCCGAACTTGACTCCATCAGTCACTCTGAAGGCCGCCACACCTTTTACAGTTTCAGTCACTGGACTGATTACGCTCACCAGTGGACCTTTGCCAAACACCCCTATAGATTTCAGCGCTACCTACGTCTTCTCGGGAGCTCATCCAGTGCCTGGACAAGTACAGTCATTGGATCAAACAGTCGTAGGAATCTCCAGCGGTAAAAGCGCAGCTCCTTCCGATGCTTCTGTGGGCACGCCTCCGTCATCAGTCCCTGCGACCACATCTGCTCCTACGAAGGCTAACCCATCGGCGCCCACCATAGACAGTAGTATGTATTTAGTTCATAGTATAGCTTGCCTCCTCGAGCATAGGTCCTGAAAATATCGTCCACCATTCCAGAAATAACGGCTGCCGATCAAGCAACCATCTTAAAACTTTTCGCCGATTTTTCCTCAGATATTGCGTCGGGCAAGTTTGCCGATGCCTGGTCAATATTCGCCCCCAATGCTAAAATCACTGCTAAGAATCAACTCCTTGGAGATTCAGATACGATCACGGATAAAGATGGTACTGTAACTTTTGAAACTTGTGGGAAAAACCTAGCAATGTTCAATGGACTGTTTAACTTTATCAGGATTTGTCAAGTACTACACCAAAAACTCGTTTGGAGGCCAGCTCAAACTGGCATTATCGAGCGGTATGCCTTCCCTCCGTTCCATTTTCACAAAATAAAACTGATGATCCCGACTTGACTCGATCAGTCACTCTTCAAGCGGCTACACCTTTTACAATTTCCACCACTGGAACTATCACCCTCACCAGCGGACCTTTGCCAAACACTCCTATTGATTTTACCGCCACTTATACTTTCACGGGAGCCCATCCAGCCTATGGACAGGTACAATCATTGGATCAAAAAGTCATAGGAATCTCTAAAGGTTCTCCTCAGTCTGGAGCAGCGGGTGGCTCTCCCTCACCGGGGGCTGCCGGCGCAAGCTTTGGAGGATTCTCGATCCCAAATTTTCACGGTGAATAATCTGATCAATGTAACATTTGATCACGATGACTCTAAAACATTTTTTATCACTTCCATCAGATCTCGCAGGTAGTGATATTGGTGGGATCACTGGTATCTTACTGAAATACGGTGCCGCTATGCAATCTGGAAATTATCCTGCTGCATACAATGTTTTTGGACCTCGGTGCACAATCGTAGTTCAGAACGATTTGACAGGTGGAGCAGTTGAATATATACGAAGCGCACAAGGTGGGTGTATCAAGGAAATCATCTTAGTTAATTACGAGAGATCATGAAATAATGTTTTTGATCTTCATCAATAGAATTTGCTGCAAATTTCAGAAAATCTAGCTTTGGTGGGAAATTAACGCTCAATTTAACAGACGGTCTGTCATCATGTCTTTCAATCTTCTCGATATCTGATTGAAGCTTTATCTGATAACTCAAGAAACCTTTTGATTCTTTCATTACAAATAGTTTACCGACTTAAAGCTCCGACTTTTTCTATCGGTCTAAGAGGTTGGGTTAAGACTAATGCAGGTCCTACCGCTAATCTTGCTATAGAGTTTTGGGGTGTAATCACCTTCAGTGGAAAGGAACCTCAAGAAGGACAAATCACATACTTTAGCTTAGAACTTCAAGGACTTGCTGATGGATCTCAGCTCGCAAGTCATATCCCAGGTATAGTAGCCCCGCAAATTGATCCCAGTAAGTCATTCTCAATTTGGAATCATGTGTAGAATTTTTTGGTCAACTTTAGATATTATGGGGTTTTATCAGGGATAAGGCCTGTAGATGCTGTTCGAATCGAAGGTCTACTACTGCAATTTGGTCAACAAGTTCAAGGTGGAGATTTTGGAGCGGCATATGATATACTTCAACCAGCTGGGGTTTTTGGAGGTGTGACCCAGATGATTTACCAAAACGATATCACGGGAGGAGAGATATTAAATGTGGCTAATAAATTCGGTATGTTGATTGTATTCCAAGTTTTAAATCATTTGTGAACCAAACCTTGGATGATTGATCGTGGTCGGCTCCTGTTTAGCCTTCATCACCGCATTCCAACAATCTACCTATGGGGGTCGTTTGAGCCAAACATTAGCACAGAGTGAGTGAATCAGAATACGTTCAAATGATCGTCGTTGATCTAACAACTGGACTCTCGTCTTATAAATAACAGTCAGACTAGTCTCTGTATATCCACTCGTATTTATCTTTTATGGGCTGTTATCTACATCTGCCGGACCTACGGCTAATGTACCCATTAGATATTCTTGTACGGTGGCGTTCAGAGGGAGACAGGCTATTGCGGGTCAAATTCAATCGTTTTATCTTAACGTTGAAAGCTTCGCTGATGGTAGATCTCTCTCAAGCCATATTCCTGGCCTCGTGCCCCCATTCATGGATCCCGGTAAGTGACTTTCATTCATCCTCACGATATTTTCATTTCAGATTGACCCATCATTTCTCCTCTTATGAATTCGCAGCTATCAGTTTCCATGACGCAGTAAGGATTGAAGGTCTCATCCTCAGTTATGGTCAAAAGATTCTACAACAAGATTACGCTGGTGCCTATAATGTATTCGGTAGAAATTATATTGCAGAGAACAAAAACGATTTACTCAGTACCCAAGACTCTTCACAGAACGCTTACGGTGGGTTTATGTATTCCTATCTCATCTTGAAAGCATCCCCACATTTGGCTCAGCTGATGACATGTTTCTTTGTATCAATTTTAGATTATGCTAGAGCGTTTGATAAGGATGCCTTTGGTGGTCGAGTGACTTCCACTTTACGATCTAGTATGTACCAATTTTAAATATAGTGTATCAAAGCTCAAATTGAAGAATCATAAGGTTGACAAAAGAAATCCGAAATCAATTCAGTTAACTTAGTCTCCCAACAACCGTTTACGGTAGTCTTTGATGGTCAACTTCAAACTACTGCAGGACAAGCACCAAACGAGAACTTGGATTACCGTTCAACTTTGGTATTCCAAGGAAATAGTCCTCATGGTGGTCAAGTGGTTCGATTTTCAACAGAAGTCATTAGGTTCTCTGATGGAAGCACTCCACTTGGACATATCGTGAAGAAGGTCCCTTTGGTTGGAGGCTTATTACATGGTCTCATACCCTGATTGGACGAGCTTGGATGAAACCCAAGTGAATGGTAAAGGTAAAATTGATGGGTTACTAACTTAACAGTCTTTGAACCTTTTCTGAGATTCATCATGCTTGTTTTGACGATAAAAAGCCATTAATTATCAGCTAGATGTTTCTGTGAAAAGTCTTTTACTCCTTTGAGATATGTGGAATCATTTTTTACAATCATTCAATACATTAGTTTATTATTTCTCTTCTTTGTCAATTCAAATGTTTCTAAATAACAGTCCTTTTGCAATTTTTTTTGACTTGAGCTACATGTCTGATTTTTCCTGGATGTCTAATTGTGGTGCCGAGAGGCGGCTGCGGTGAGCATATTACCTTTGCTAGAAAGGTTGACACCTTGGGCCCATTTTTTTTATTTTTTTGACTGTGCCGCAAATATATCCTGACTCGTTCAAAATCAGGCAACACACTAACCTATCTAAGTCCCTCTCGGACAAACGAGTAGTCGAGAGAGGGACTTGAAACCAAAGCAGCAACAACCATGACAAAGGTCTGTGTTGCCCTAACCTAACTAAGTCCCTCTCGGGCAAACAAGTAGTCGAGAGAGGGACTTATGGCTTATCCACAAAATTTGGCGTGTGAGCCTGTGGACCTTTGGCTGGGGTAATTTTCAAATCAAGCCACTGCATTATCTTGTTTACAAAACTCCTCTGGAGCCAAGAAACAATTTGTGCTGTGAATTATCCTACATACACCTGTGCCGGTATCAGCATGCCAAACCAAATGGCTATCAATCTATTCAAGCTCAATGTTTTGGATAAATTCCATCCTCTGTAATTTGCTGCGGAGGTTTCAGAGAGTCATTTACTCCTGTCTTTGAGAAACTCTCAACAAGCCTGGCTCGCAGCGCTGCAAGCCGCAATTCCTGAAGCGCAGCGATAAATATAATTGGCCAAGCCCAGTAGCTTTAGCCGCAGCGGGAAAAAGACCCTCACATGAAAAATAAGCTGAAAGCGTTATTTTTTATCGCAGCGCTTTGCAGCGTTGCATGACAAAAAAAAGCGTTTTTTTTGTAAAGGGAGCCACAAATTTAAACATCAATTCCAAATATAGATCAAGAGTAACGACCGTAAAGAAAAGTTAACAAAACAAATTAAAGGAGTGTAAAGAAAGTTTTTTTAAAAAAATCAAAAAAAAAACAAGTTTAAGGAGTGTAAAGAAATGAAAACACTACATTAAAAGACAAAACAAATAAACAAACTAGAAGTGAGACCTTCTGGTTTTCTTTTGAACCACTTTCT